AGCTAGACAGACTTGAACATGACTCCCACCTTTGTTGATTTTAGCTACAAGACTCTCCGGACAAGTCATTTATCCTCTCTGGATTCCATATGCACCACTGATTCATAGGCACAAAACACACACTTTGAAGAATTGTTGTATGGGTTGGTTATACTATTTAATAAATGCCTGTTATCTAGCAAAAAAAGAGAAAAAAATTTATATATCCTTATTTATTTCAATATATCAATGGACATATCTTTAGGATATTCTGTGGGGTTTTTTTTTTTTTTTTTTTTTTTTGAGACAGAGCCTCAAGCTGTCCCCCTGGGTAGAGTGCCGTGGCATTACAGCTCACAGCAACCTCCAACTCCTGGGCTCAAGCGAGTCTCCTGCCTCAGCCTCCCAAGTAGCTGGGACCACAGGCGCCCGCCACAACGCCTGGCTATTTTTTGGTTGCAGCCATCATTGTTGTTTGGCGGGTCCGGGCTGGGGATTTGAACCCGCCACCTTAGGTGTACGTGGCTGGCGCCTTAGCCGGTTGAGCTATAGGCGCTGAGCCTATTCTGTGGAGTTTTAAAATCAGTGTCAGTGAGTAAAAAATTACTGGGCATGCTAAGAGACAGGACTATAGGAGTCCTGAGTTGCGGGTTCAAATCCTGCCTGGGCCCGCCAAACAACAATGATGGCTGCAAGCAAAAAATAGCTGGGTGTTGTGGGAGGTGCCTGTAATCCTAGCTATTTGGGAGGTGGAGGCAGGAGAATCGCTTAAGCCCAGGAGTTGGAGGTTGCTGTGAGCTGTGATGCTGCAGCACTCTACCCAGGGTGACAGCTTGAGACTCTGTCTCAAAAAAAAAAACAGGCAATAGAAACAGACCTTCAAGTGACCCAGATATTAAAGATTTTAGTAGCTATAATTAATCTATTAAAGAAACCAGCAGAAAAGATGAAAAAACATTTAAAAGTAACATTTCATCAGAGAATTAGAATTCATAAAAAAGAATCAAATGGAAATTGTAGAACTGAATTAAGAATTCAATATAGGGGTTTAATAGAAGATTAGTTGCAACAGAAAAGAGGATTGTGCCAAGTCAATAGAAACTACCCAGACTGCAGTAAAGACACAGTTACATGTAGCACATTACCTTTTGTGTAAAAAAGAGGAACATAGAATATATGTGTGTGTTTGTATGTGTGTGTGTGTGTGTGTTTGTATATATATTTTTTTCTTTTTTCCCTATAGAAGCTTGGGAAGGATGAAAAGTGGTTTCTGTGCACATGAGGATAGAACACAGAGAGGGCAGCTTGGGATGGGAACAAGACTTTTCTCTATAAACCTTTCTACACTGTTTTGCTTTATGAGCCATGCGGATCTATTACCTATCCAAAATAAACAAATAAAAATAAGTGCCTTTCATTTATTTTTAAATAAACTACAGCCTGTCTATTTCTTTTGAGGCAATCTATTTTGATAACTGTATTTTAGTTTCTTATGTTAAAGCAAAATGTCCTTTTCTATAACTTATGTGCATGGACCTTGCTCACCCTGAAGAATAACGAGGAATGCAAGTCCACTCAGCCTTCCTGGGACAGTTACAATGGCTCCCAACTATTTCGTATATATCTAGGCTAAATACCTTCAGATATTTTTGTTATTCTCACCTGACATGGTTTCCAGGCTCTTAGCACTCCTTCTGGACTGGTTAATGTTTGCCAGCGCATCTCTTATACACTGTCCAGAACATAATACATGATCCGGGTTCTCACCACACGAGACTATCACCTCCTTTGATCCAGTAGTTCTATTTCTTTTAATATAAACTAAGATGGAGCCAGCTTCTATGACTAGCACATGAAATGGCTAGCAATGTCAAACTGAAGGCCAATTAAAACCAGGTCTTTTCCTTACAAACTTCTGTTGAAACTCACATCCCTCCCTCTTCTGAATTTAGGGATATACTAAACACAAAAGCCCTTTTTTCCTGGTCTTTTTCGTCTTTTTATTTTTTATTTATTTATTTATTTTTTTTTTTCTGAGACAGAGCCTCAAGCTGTCCCCCTGGGTAGAGTGCTGTGGCATCCCAGCTCACAGCAACCTCCAACTCCTGGGCTCAAGCGAGTCTCCTGCCTCAGCCCCCCAAGTAGCTGGGACCACAGGCGCCCGCCACAACGCCCGGCTATTTTTTGGTTGCAGCCGTCATTGTTGTTTGGCGGGTCCGGGCTGGGGATTCGAACCCGCCACCTTAGGTGTACGTGGCTGGCGCCTTAGCCGGTTGAGCTATAGGCGCCGAGCCTTTTTCGTCTTTTTATACTTCAGCCTGTCAAGGTCTTTTCAGAACCGAATCCTGTCAGCTCTAGGCACTGGTTAGGCACGCACCCTTAAACAAGATACTGTGTATCTAAGTGGAGTGATGAACCAACACTGAGATTTAAAAAAAACACGTCCCACAGCCTGTTCCGTATTTATTTAATTGCGGGTTATCTTCCCCTGACCCAAATGAAAACACCAGCCGGACATGACTTTGCTACTCTCTCTTGGGTAAGCAATGGTTCTGCAGTCACTTCTTCTTTTTTAATAACAGCTTTATTGAGGTATAATTCATGTACCATAAAATTTGCCATTTTAAAGTGCACAATTCAGTGGTTTTTCAGTATATTCAAAGACTTGTACAACTATTACCGCAATCAATTTTAGAACATTTCATCACCCTAAAAAGAAGCCCTGCACCCATTAGTAGTCACTCCCCATTCCCATCCCCTGCCCACTCCACAGACCTAGGCCACCATTAATCTACTGTCTTTATGGATTTTCCCATTCTGGACACTTTATATAAATGGAATCATACAACATGTTGACTTTTGTGGCTGGCTTCTTTCACTTAATGTTGAATTAGTGATGAATGTTTTTAAGGTCTATCCATGTTGTAGTGTGTATCAGGATCTCATTTCTTCTTACAGCCAAATGGTCCATTGTATATACATACCACATTTTGTTTACCTACTCTTCAATGATGGACATTTTTGTTGTTTTTATTTTTTGGATATTATGAATAATGCTGCTACGAATACACACTCATGTTCAGGTTTTAGTGTGGACACGCTCTCATTTTTCTTAGGCGTGTACCTAGGAGTAGAATTCCTGGGTCAAATGGTAACCCTAACTTTTGGGAGAGTTGCCCAATTGTTTTCTTTTCTTTTGTTTTTTATTGTTTGAGGTTAACTGAAGGTACAAGGAATTAGGTTACAATGTTTGCATTTGTTAGGTAAAGTCCCTATTATAATTGTGTCCTGCCCCCAAGAGGTGTGCCATACACCCTAACCAGCAAGTGGGAGCACACCCATCTCCTCTCCTTCACTCTTCCCGCTCCTGTATGCCCTGCCTCCCACCTTGAATTGATGTGAGTTTTCTTCTTGTTGCCAGATTGTTTTCCAAAGCAGCCTCACCACTTCATTTGCTTCTGCAGTGTACAGGGGTTCCAGTTCCTCCCCATCCTCATCAACACTTGCTATGATCTGTCTTTTTGGTGACAGCCAAGCTAGTGGGTGTGGGATGGGGTCTGCAGCCCAGCAAGGGCTCTCTCTAGAGTAACCTTCTCACCTCTCTTTTTCACTCTCTGTCCTCTTTATGTATCTTTGGCTTGGCTGAGGGTGCTATGAGTTATGAAACTGGCTCTTCTCCTTGGTAAATTCTGTATATAAGATTTTCAGAATTTCACCTCTACTATACGTCAGTTTTAACATCTTGATAGGTGTGAAGTGCCAACACATGGCAGGCACTTTATAAGAATCTCTTTTCTTACCTAAGGTTTCCTCCAGTCACTGATAAGCACAGCAAACAGGACAGAGGACCGCTCTACCTGGCCCACACCCCTGCCCACTTTGCTCCCTCTCAGTGGATGGGACAGGAGGAACACTCTGCTGAGGCCTTGCCATAGTGACAGCTGCGTGTGCAGGACATGCCTGTGCACTTACTGTGGGTCAGGATCAGCCCGGGTGCTGGGGAATGGCAGGGAACAAACTGGACAAATATCTCTGCTTCACGGAGCTCATGTTTTAGATGGCAAAAGCTGGTAGGGACAAAAGAAATCACTTTTTACAGCAGATTAAAGGGCGTAAGTGCTGTAAACAGCAAAGCAGGGTAAGGAGGGTCGGAAGTGTAGTACAGGGATGGTGTTACAATTTTAAACAGAGCCCTCAGTGGCGACATTGGAGCACAGACCTGAGGGAGGTGAGTGTGCAAGCTCTGCAGCTACCCAGGGAAGGGCCTACGGGTCACAGCTGGGCTCCAGTACTGACTCTTCCATAACTGGCATGTGACTTCATCTTCAAGACCTCAGTTTTCCCAGCTCTAAAATGGGCTTTAAATTTTTTCTTCCAATTGGAAAGAAAAAGTTATTATTTGAGAAAATATAGATTGTAAAGCAGCCCAGCCCCAAATCTCAGCTGCAGACTAAAACATCCTTAAACAAAGTATCTACTAAGTTAATAAAAAGAAATTAAAATAGCACAAGCCTAATAGCCTGGCTGGGAGGTGAGAGGAACACTGGCTGGAAAATTCCTCACAGCTCTATTGTTTGGGCTGGTGTCTGGAAGTCCCGCCCATCAAAATGTAACAGCAGCTACTGCCTGAGAGAGAATGCATCACACCCTTCAGCCCAGCAGGTTATCACACATTCGGAAATAAAACTCAATGAAATAACAAAGCAGAGAAAAGCAATTTGCACTGATCTGATTATCTGGAATATGAAAAGAATTAGAAGAAGCCCAAACTGGTCATTAAGCCACAGAACTTATATTAACACATGAAGGGGTAACAGCTTACACCGTGGCAGCAACTGGCTAGTTGCTTCTCTGAATCCATCTCTCACCCTACCTTAGAAAAAACATTAGCAGAGTTCAAGGCTGCCCAGAATAGCTATGTTCCATTCCCCAACGTTCCTTGCAATGTGTGGCCTTGTGACCAAGTTCTGACCAATTTGTGATATAAAGAGAATAGTCACATGTGACTTACATCACTACAGAGAAGAAGCATGACCCTCCTGGTGCCATCTTCCTTCCCGCTGACTGGAGGGCAGATGTGATCGTGTGTGCTGCACCAGCCACCTTGAGCCATGTGGAGGAAGCCACCTGTTGGGCACAGAGGAGTAAAATGAGAGAAGCACCCTGACTCCTTGTTGTCATGGGATCCCCAGGTCAGCCCTGAGCTGTCTCCTTCTGAACTGAAAGACTAAAGTAAGCTCGGCGTTTAAGTCTTCATTTATTTGAGTTTGTTGCCATTAATAGCCAAACTGAAGTATAATCGATACAAACCCACAGGGAGAGAATGTTAATGGGAAAGTAACCATACAGATGGGTGTTCCTCCCATAGCATGGTCATGTCAGCTGTGTACTGGTGCAAAGACTGACTCAGTGGGGACCATCATGGTCTGGCGGGTGCAGTGTCTCATGCCTGTAATCCTAGCCCTCCAGGAGGCCAAGGCAGGTAGATCTCCTGAGCTCTGGAGTTCGAGACCAGCCTGAGCAAAGCAAGACCCCATCTCTACTAAAAAATAGAAAAACTAGCTAGATGTTATAGCGGGCACCTATAGTCCCAGCTACTTGGGAGGCTGAGACAAGAGGGTTGCTTGAGCATAAGAGTTTGAAGTTGCTGAAGTGGCTCACGCCTGTAATCCTAATGTTCCGGGAGGCCAGGGCAGGCAGATTGCCTGTGCTCGGGAGTTTGAGACCAGCCTGAGCAAGAGCAAGACCGTGTCTCTAAAAATAGCCAGGCTTTGTGGGGTCTGTAGTTCCAGCTACTCAGGATGCTGAGGTAATAGGATCTCTTGAGCCCAAGAGTTTAAGGTTGCTGTAAGCTATGACGCCACGGCACGGCACTCTACCCAGGTCAACTGAGTGAGACTCTGTCT